AATATATAAAATATTGTTTAAGAACCCTTTCAACTAAAATATAATTTTTATTCAATTCTGAAAAATGTGGCATGACTTATAGTCTTTGTAAGCAGTGTAAATAATGAAACATTGATGTAAATTACTTAGAAGTGCAATTGAGAAGTTTAAATATTTGAGGTTTTTAACTCATAAAATTTTTTCCATTAAATAATTTGAAGCAAATACCTGCTATTGCAAGTGAAGGATCACTCCTCATTACTTTTTGTTCTTTTAAAAATTTCTAATCCCCACATATCCCCACCCCACACACCTTTAAGTAATCAGGCATTTTCAATTTGCAGAAAACACTTTAGTAGTATATCAACTTCTGAAAGAAAGCTTTAGCATGGAAATTTTGATCATTTTTTTAAAACTATGGTAGATATTGAATTTTGTACTTCCCCTAGATATTTTGCAGTTGATATAAAGGTATTGAATCAAAGAGATTAAGTGAACTAACTTTTTTGTTCTTAGAATCCAGATATACATCAAGAATATTTAGAGTACTGATACAAGTTTGAGCTCCAACTTGCCTTTATCTGAGGTTAAAATGTTAGTGTTAAAGTCAAGATTTTGCAGTTCTGGTTGATATTTAGCCTTCAGTTTTCTGTTACTCCACACACCATCTTCCACTGGCACCACGTGATAGTCTAATTATTCAACACTGAGGCAATCATAACAGATTATTTTAAGTAAGTTAAATTTGATGCGTCCTCTTAGTACCTGCGTTAGAACAATTAAATCCTCGAATGCTTTTGGAGAAAGGCTGACAAGCTTATTGGGATTTAACATTTTGTAATGGAATATTCATACAAGGGTGTGCTGAAACAGAATTCTGATTTTCAAAAAGCATCTTACTAACCAATGCTTTAAAAGCAATATTTAGAAGATGTGAGAACTTGTTGGCAGAATATGTATAATTTTTAATTTGCCAGGATATTTCAAAACACTGCAGATGTCTGACTCACATATGAGAAATTTTCTTTGATATAGACTGTAAAATTTTTTCAACAGTACCTTACTCAAATACTAAATCATGTTAAAGATGAGATTTTTATTTGATGACCCCAAAAGTTACTGGCTGGTTAAGGAAAAAAGTAAGACATGTTCTCCTAGTTTTAGTCAAAAGCTTGATTTTCTTTTCTGAAGGAGATTCCCTAATTTTCCTTTATGTTTTTGAACTCAGCCTGGTCATTGTTTCAGGAAACCTACTCAGTACCATATTTTTTATCAAAGTAACTTTGCCACACTTGTCATTCTGCTCAGATCACAAGTTTTGTTGGAAAGGAAGACTGTCAAAATTCTGTAATGGAATGCCATAATAGAGAGTAAATCAACATAAAAACATTTTAAACAGAAATCTCTTTACAAGTTGAAGTTCCTACAGAATTTCTTCATTGAGAGGGACTAAATGGTTTCTAAAAACACCAACAGCTTTATAATATGAAATAACATTCTAATTATTAAAATTGTTATGTAAACCTAGAAAAGTTTTTTAAAGTATTCTAAAAAAACAGAATTGCCTTAACTGTCTCTGTATTACTCATTGACTTGTGCAGGAACACATACATATACACAAATGTGGGCAAACATTTCAACTGACATTTGTTCAGCACTATTTTTTTGGAGGCCAAGTAGATTATGTATAAAAGGAAATCTGCACCATGTGATCACAGTTTCAAAAAGGCAGTCCCTAAACACACTTACATAAGAAAGATGTATACAATAAATTTAGATAAAATGAAACTTGATTTTCTCCTTTAATTTCTTTACTTCCAAATAACTATAACCTAAGCAATATTGAGAAATGTATATGAATTTGTTGCTTAATAAATTTATGAGACCATTATTTTTTCACAGATTGTAGTTGACTTATCTAATTTTCAAAGTTTCTTAACTTATGCTTTACTCTTATTTCTCTCTATTGATTAACTGAAAAAAACAGGTTATTTCTCCTGTAGTTTCTTACCTGGATTTTTTCTGATTGACTGCCTCCCTTTGGTGTCATTTAACATGATTCTCTGTCTCTTTATTATCAGAAATCTGGTAGTTAAATACAGAAGCTTCATGTGTTTCCCTCCCTTTCTTTCTCTTCCCTTTCATTTACAAAAAATATAAAGAAAAAATATAATCTAATGTCAACATAACCAGAGAATTATCTAAAATATGAATTGCACTTTTATTTAAGCTACTTTTCCTGTTGACAGCTATTTGTTTATACAATATCTCTATCTTGATGGGAGCTTCCTTCACCAGATAGTATTTGCAATATCTAATCTGTTAAGATTATACAATGCAAAATTATCAATATTCAAACATGTCTTTAAAAAAGTACTATTACGTAGGAAGCAGATTTTGCTTCCACATGGTTCCCTTTTCATCAGAAAACCTGGCAGGAGAAATTACGAATTTGTTCCTTTTCTATACCTCATAGTAGGCAATAACTCATTTTCTTTTATATTTTTTATTATTACACATTCATGATACATAATATTTCCTCTGTGAGGAGTTAGTACACATACACACTTTTAAGTTTCCCTCCCCACCTCCATCTCTTCTCCCTTCATCTCTAGATCTTCTTCTCATCTGCAAAAATCCCTTTGCATCATAAGCCATGACCTATAAATACCTTGTGCAACTATCTCAGAAAGTTATTACATTTTAGAATAGAGAATAATGAAAAATCATAAATGTCTCCTTACATACTTAGATTTGCTTAAGAGTGTCTTAGAATGGATTGGTGTTCCCTACTGATTTAAAGTTGTTGAGATGACTGACAAAATCCAAAGTAATAGGCATATCTTTTTTAAACCACTACTCCTAAATCTTCTTTTCTTTATTGATATAATGGGAAGATAATTAATTGTAAAAGGTGATGCCTATTGATTACTTAATGGAAGATAATAGTGTCAAGAAATGCTGAAATGAGTCTGTGCTGTGCCCTCCTTTGCAACACAACCCATTATCCAGTAGTGGAAGTCATTTTGTAGTTCTTATTAATATTTAATAGGCAGGAGGCAGGCTGGATGTAGGCTACAGAATTGCCATAGGCATAGGTTGTAATAGGCTTTAAGAGTGTTTTAAGTATATAACAGAGTAATAGATTTCCCTATTTTCAGATTATTTATATGCAAGACAACAAGCCTTCATTTCCCTTTTGTGATCTCTGAGCAACGATGACATGATGAAAACACCTAGTAGGCAAGTTAAAGTGATTAAAGCCCCAAGAAGTCTCTCTAGGTTAGTAAGTTCTGCACATTAAGACTGGGTATTTTCCAGTGTGGGTCTCAATTTCAGTCCTTTTTTTCCTTACCTCTCGCCATAAGCAAAAGGGGCTGACAGGCTTGTTCAGCAGGGATAGCAAGTCAGCAAAAGGTGCTAATTGTGTCTAACACAGTCATCATCCTTGGGGTGACATTCTGTAGCAGTATCTCTCAGGCTAACCCCTTGTCCTGAGTCAGAATCTTTTTACTTCAGTTCACTTAAAAAAGAAACAAGAGATTTTAAAGATAGCTGTTGGGGAGATGTGAATGCGAGGGTTCTTAAGGAGAAGGACTTTTGAAGCTGACTTCACTGAAATGGGCTTTGATTTCTGAGAGGACAATGCCAGTTTCTGTAGTTTATTGACCCTCATTATTAATTTTCCAAATAATTAGGTCATTTGTTCAGTACCATTGGCTTTTTAAAAAATATGGTAAGTTCAAAATGAGCTAAAGTTCTTAAAACAGGACATAATCTTGGGATTTATAAAAGAACCTAAGATCAGATATCCATCATCCTAAATAATGCACAAAATTAAATAGATTGTGAAGAAATATCAATTTTTAAATCAACAACTCCAAAGAATTTTGAATATGTGTTTAAGAGAACAATTTACTTCATAACATATCTGGATTATTTATAATTACTTGTCTGGAATAGGTTCCATAGGAGTAAAGATTTAGCCTTGTAAGCAAAATGTATTCAAGGGAATAGTCTCCTATTAACATATTAAGCTTGTTCTTTAAACCACTAAATGAAAATGACCCAGAGGTCTCATTGTAATTCTATGTTAAAGTGAAAAAATTCAGTTTTATTCCCAATCTTAGGCTGCGTGTATGCTACTTCAATTTATTAAGTCTCTAGGTGTGCATTTCCTTTCTGATATGCAGCGGAGAATTGCAAATTACCAAGAGTTAGTGTTGGGAAATGCACTTGTGTTCATTTTTATTTTTTAACAATCTTGATCTTTATGAGGTATAATGGTGGATCTAGTTAGATGCTTGTATTTTAGTTGTTTTGTTGTGTTATTTGTTTATTAGTTTGTTAATACCACCTGCTAGAAATGAGTTAGTAAAACATACTTTGTACCTTTTTAAGAAGTCCATCATTCATCCTTTACCCATTCATTTAAAGAACGCTCAAGGATCAAAATGTATAATAGACGTTGTGAAATAGGAAGAAAATATTCAAATGGGAAGGAGAGCCAGGGAGGAGTATAAGGGAAAGGAAGGAAGGGAAAAGGAAAAAAAGACAATAGAAGGAGAAATGGAAACAAAGCTTTTGAAAATAAGGCGGAGAAGAGGGGTTGAAGGGAGGGGAAGAGAATGGGAAAAAAAGATCAAGATATACCATGTACAGCTACAAATTCCGTATGAATGAATGTTATCATTATGTATATCTAAAATGTACCAATAAAATTAATTTAAAATTTAAAGAAGGCTCAGTTAGAATTCACAGATTTTCCAACCTCTGCTCTCAAAATAATAAAAATAATTACATCAAGACTTTCTCCAAAGTACTTAACACTATGACATAAAGGAGGGAAGATATTTTATCAACTATAAATAAAAATGTCAATAATATTTATAACTTCTATGCCTTTTGATATTGCAGAGAAGACTTTTTTATAGCCTGTATATGCAATATATAATTTATTAATTTTAGGAGTGAGAGTTACAAACCTTGACTTTTCTTTATTTTCCTTCCCAATTTTATAGCGCAGCAGCAGTTTTGGGCATTTTGATCATTTTCGGAATAATTCCATTTCAAAACCAGATGATTCAACTGAGGTTAGTCTTTTATTCTATTTTTATGAAAATTATATAAACATAAAATTAAACTTTTTGAGGATAATGTCACTTTTGCAAAGTATAGTACAGTGAATAAATATATTTTCAAATCATAGCCTTATATAAAGTTTTGGAATAACAAACAATTATTTACTTATTAGCAAATGAAGAGCATTAAGGTAAAACCTAACTCAGAAGCCTACCAGACATTGGCATAATATTAGTTGAGGAAGATAGTTACAATTCAAAATGGCACTATAATTTCAATGTTCTTGAGTATTTACATAAATAAACAGCATATGTGTGAGTTGTCTATACATGCATAATTGTATAGTGTGTAATTGATTTAAATTAAAAAATGATCAAGTAACTATATTGTAAATTTTTAAGGTGAGCATATGACTACTCAAATATACTCTTACCTTTCTACTACATGCATCAAAATGTGTCATAGTGACTATTACATTCACATCTTTAAACTATACACACTTAAAGTGTAGATTAAGAAAAGCTTCCCATAAATTTAAGTTTACACAATAATATATTAATACCAAGATCTAAATCTAATTGAGCAATTACTATAAAGTAAGAACAATACAAACATTTTTCTTACCTGTAACATAGGAACCATTTGTATTTCTATCACTGAAGAAATATGCTTGCTACATTGAGTGAAATTACTTTTACATTTCAGAGTTAATAAATGATGAACCTCTTCTCTGACTCCAAAAGTTGCCATTCTGTGATACTATCTCATAAACTAGGTGATTAATGAAAGGAATAGTTAAGAGAATAGTAGTGATATGTATTGAGAAAAATTGAAAATACAGTACATGTTTATCATGTAACCTAATTTGACAAATGACCAAGTGATACATTATTTGTAAGGAAAATAGTTTGTAGGTTGTAGATATCATGCTCACATACTTATGCATCTATCTATATTTTAATTGTTTTTAATTTCAGTAAGGAATATTCTGGACAAAAGAAAAGAAATAAAATGACATTTATTATTACTTTATTAATATTTCTATTTGCACATATATGTTCATGTTTATTTATGTCCCCTTTAATTCATATATATATATCTTATTAATTTAAATATTTATAGATGGACAAACATCACAGCTCTATGGTCCACCAACATTAAAATAATTCTAAGTAATATAACTGAGAGAGAGAGAGACAGAGATAGAGATAGAGACTTATTTTATTTCCAACTGGCATCTTATATAAACTTTATACTCTCCATAATCATACCTGCTATATTCTATGGTCATTTAATTTACAATTCTAGAATTAATCTGTAAAAGTAGCTCAAGCCTATTCAGGCTTATTGATAAATTATAATGGCTAAAAAATTTGTGAAAGAATATTGTTAACCTGATAAAGTCGTTAAACACATTTTTTTAGAAATTCATCATTCATTCTCCATCTATTCAACAAATATCTATTCTGTAACAATATTTCCATCAAGCCCTTAGGAATTACTATTGTAATCACAAATGAACATGTTTACCACCTGAAGCCTGGAGTCTAGTGAGGCAGATACATATTAAAAAGCCATTGGGAACAACAAAACCATAAATGAATATCTAAATAAAATTGTGGTTCAGGCTATGAAAAACAGCATAGAAAAAAATGTTATAATTTATAATCTATGGAAATAGTTTGTTTGAATTATCTGTAAATATTGATATACAAAATAAATAAAAATTTTATGTATTTGAAGCTTGTGTAATGATTGTAAGTAATCATTGATTATAATAAAATAATATTTTCACATTTATTTTAGTAAAATAATTTTGTAATGAAGATATAAAGTAAGTAGCAAGAAGAGAGAAGAAAAAGGCCAACTAACTTTTTAAAGTGCTTTGAAATTATATTTTATTCAGAGCTTTTGAGTTAAACAAAAAATCTTTGCATTTATAACCTTGAATGTAGAGATTAATAAAGTCCAGTGAGGGTTTAAATTGGCTGTCCATTCTTATTTATCATTGGCAATTTGGGGTAAGATATGAAGCAAAACAATATTGATTAATAATGATGTTAACTATGTGTTTAAACTTTCATATTAAAATATTCAATATCACTAAAGAGATATTTCTCATCATTTTTTATATTCAGGGAATAACTAGCTGTACTTCTATCCAAATGTTGGACAGTGCCAAATTTCATGACCTTCAAATTTCATTTCTTGCAAATTTGAGATAGTAAGGATGAGTATCCCAAATATGTTCTCCACAAAAATAATGCTGAAAAGTTCTACATGAGGGGTTCAATATAAAAACACCAGTTATGCGCTTGGAAGTATTCTAGACACTCAGAATAAAGAAAACAGATATGGTCTCCATTATCATGAATCATACAACAAATGGAGATACAGACAATAATTGAATGAACAAACAAACATATTATTGAGTAATGTTAAGTGCTTAGGAAAAAATAAATCAGGTTAAACAAACAGGATGTTTGGACAAGTGTGAAGAATGATCAGTTAGACAATTTCTGCCTTCTTACCTCCTATGTGAATAGAAATTAATGATTTAAGGCAGAAATCTGTGGATATTTAAGGAATCCAAGGAAAAGGCAGGTACATACATTGGTGCGAAACTGATAGCCGGCAGTGGAGTTATACTGTCAATACTTTAGTACAGTTGTTTTCAAACTTTGGTGTGCCGTCACAATCACTTGAAGAGCTTATTAAAATACAAATTGTCCCCTAAAATATTGTTGTTGTTGACCCGAGGACCACACTGTCAAAATCACTGTTGTAGTCAGCAAAGGAGATCTGAAAAGTAGCTAAGAGTGAAATAATGATGATATTTTATTTCATATAGATTCCATAAAATATATACAATTTTGTAATGTATAATATATTAATTATACTGTGTCATACTATTTGTGTCATGTTATTGAATTTTGTGTGCTATGAAAACTTTATGTTTTATTCTGTTAAGTGGGAAGTCATTGCTTTAACAAATTTCTTAATAAGCACCAGGCAGAATGAGTCCAAATAAGATAATTAATAAGGAGAGCATAGGAATTCCATGAAGATTTCTGTACTGATGGATGGAACCACATAATGTTTACTATTTCCTAAAAATGTGAAAAATGTGCATGTATTCTTTCTTACTTGACAAGGAGAAAAATTGCAAGTTCTCGATTATCTTAACAAAATTCAACATTTCCTAAAACTAACCATGTGCATCGTGATTTCTATCAAGAGGCTATTTTAGCCCTTCAATAAAATGTCTCCAATCTATGTAGACATACTCACTCTTTATGTATGGCATTCTCTTCTATTTTCTTATCTGTAAAACAAGAACGATTAAAATGCTTCTTCAAAAAACTGCATTTAAAAATAAACCTAACTGTCCCAAATAATTTTAGGTGTAGGGGTGGGAAAAATTGTTAAGTTGTAGAGTACTTGCGTAGCATGTACAGTGTTCTGGGTTCAAATCTCAGATCTGCAAAAATGAGAAAATATGTTAATTGTTACTCTCTGAGGTAACCAAGTAACCAGTCTTGGACAACATTAAAAATATGTATCTTGCACAGATTGTTTGAAATTTTAGAGGCCTCAACACAGTGTGTTTAGGAAGTGGACAAATTGGCAATATTTTCAAATCAGTGCTTTTATTACTTTATTATTTTGTCTTTTGTAAAAATTTCTAAACCAGGTACATGAAGGGGAACTAATAAATGATAATGGAGAACAAAACAAAACTTCAAATAATGGAGGAGCTCTGAGTAAAAAAATTAGAGCTATTTCATGGACAATGAAGAAGAAAGTGGGGAAAAAGTACATCAAAGCCCTTTCTGAGGAAAAGGTAAGAGCATCTTGTTAATCATTTATATTTTTCTATTAATTTTTTCTAAAAATATTCAATTACTTTTTCTTCTAGGTGTGGGTATAAGTTTTTAGTGCTTCATGAAGCAACACTTAAACAAATATTTTCTCCCTCAGTCATCATGTCCAAAAAGTGGGTTGGGGAAAATATTATTACTATCATTTTTTTTTTTAATTTTGGGATAGAATCTCACAGAGTTGTTAAGTTGCCCATACTAAGCTCAAACGTGAACCTCTGGTCTCCGCCTCCCAGAATACAGGAACTGTGGCATGCACAACCATGCCTATTTACTACCACCATCTTAAGAGAAGAGATTGAGTCAGAGAAATCATGCAACTAGCATATGAATAACAATGTGTAACATCTTGTAGGAAGCATCACTATATCTTTTTTATTGCAAACATTTCATTTTCTAGATAAATTGCAATTTACATGTCTTTTCAACATTTAGTAGCTACTGGGGTTCTTCCTAGTTTTGGACTGCCATGAATATGCTGCTGCAAATATTTCTGTTTGATTTTTTGTGTGGAAATGTTTTACATTTCTCTTGGGTATATGGTAACTATATATTTCATATTTTGAGAAATTAGTCATCTTCCAAAGCACCTGCATGATTTTTACATTACTCTAGCAAAGTAAAAAGAGTTCGAATTTTTCCACATCCCTGTCAACATTTGTTATTATCAGGGCATTTTTGTTTTGGTTTTTAATGCTAATTATTTAATAGAGGTGAAATGAAATCTCATTGTGATTTTTACATACATCCTTATGACTAATGATGTTAAGAATGTTTTCATGTGCTTGTCCATAACTATGTCTTTTTGAAGAAGTGTTTAAATCTATTACCATTTTTAAATTGATTTGTCTTTTTATTGCTCGGATTTTAATCATATATTCTAAATATGTTTTTATTAGATATATGACTTGTAATATAAATCATTTTCCACCATTTGTGAATTTTAGTTTTACTTTCTTCTTAATATTCTTTGCTGCACAAATATTTTGTTGTAATCCAGTTTACCTATTTTTTAACTTTCGTAACTTGGGCTTTGTGGTACACTAAGAAACCATTATTTTATTTATTTATTTATTTATTTATTTATTTATTGGTACCAGGGATCGAATTTAGGACCTTGCACTTGCGAGGTAGGCAGCAGCTCCACTGAGCTAAATCCCTGGCTCTTAAGAAACCATTATTAATCATAAAGTCATAAGGTTTACTGCTATGTTTTCTTCTAAGAGTTTTAAAATTTTAGCTCTAAAATTTTGGTGTATGATCCATTTTGAGTTAATTTTTCTATATGTTTTTTAACAGAAACCCAACTTCAGTCTTTTGTATGTGACTATTTAGTTGTCCTAATTTCATTTGTTGAAAAGATGATTCTTTCCCCATTGTGTTGTCTTGCTACCTTCTCTTAAAATTAGTTCACCATGAATATGGTTATAAAGGTATGAATCATAAATATATAGGCTTATTTATGGACTCTCAATTCTATTATTGATTTATAGTCTTATGCTCATTCTGTTTTAAACCCACTTCTACATGGCTTCCATCTCCAGTACTCCATCATAATCAGTGGTAATCTCTGTATTGCCAAATCTAATGGTCACTTTTTCTTTTGTCTTTCTTTTCTTTTCAGCTGACTTTGACACAAATGATAATATTGTTATATGAGAAGTATTGTCTTTTCTTGGTTCCTATGACTGGCCATTCTTTTGGAATTTCTTCTTCATAGCTTCCTTTCTTATCTTTTCTTTCCTTACTGTAACTATTGAATCTTTTGCAGGCTTGGTCCTATGCCATACTCAATTTATCCTCTTCTCTTATGTGAGAAGTATTCCCTAACTTTGTTTTTCATAATTATATATAATTGTATAGTATATTCAATTATAGTATATTTGTATAATATGTTCAAGCATGACTTTGGAGAAGTAGACCTTAAGAAAGGAAGAGAAACACAAAGATTTATTGAAAGAAACGTCTGCAAAAGACAAAGAAAAGAAAGAAAAAAACAGGCAGGAAAAGTCTTTTGACTGCACTGTATATCTGATCTATAAAAGGAGAGGAAAGAAGAAAGGAGGATCAGTTAGAGAGAATTTCAGATTTCAAACCCAGTTCTGAGAAAACTTTGGCAGGTTGATGGCAAAACTCTGAACCAAAATGTTCCATTACAGGAGCCTCATGTACCACCAAATGAGCTCAGATAATACTCTCACTTTCTTAGACATTGGGAAAAAACATGGCTTCAGTGAAAATACTGTGGTGGATACAGAGTGGGGGATAATTAGAACTGTCAGTGTATTAATCCATTTTCTTTGGGTAATAATACAAAATCAGAAACTGAGTAAGTTATGGATAAAAGTGGTTTATTTTGGCTGACAGTTTTGGCTCAAGATAAAGGGATCACATCTGCATGATGGCTTTCTTGGTGGCAGAATATCAAGATGGTCCAGGGTATCACACAATGTAAAATTGGGACTATACACATGCATTTTCTAGTCTTCCTCTTCTAGTAAAGCCACCAGTATTCAATTATGGAGGCTTCACCCTGATGGTCTTATCTAATCCTAATCACCTGTCAGAACTCCTCTCAAAACACTGTTTCCCCTTCTTCATATTTCACAATGGGGATTAAATTTCAACATGGTTTTTGAGGTGATAAACCATATTCAAATCATCACATTCCTTCTTGATCCCCAACATTCACGTTCTTCTCACAATGTATAAATCAACCAATAATGCAGTTTTCTCACAGCAAGAGATCTGTGTGGCACATCTCCATGACCTCCACACAGGGTCTGCAAAGCTCTTTATGAACTAGCTCTGGTCTATTTCTCTGAATTCATATGTTAATATTCTCCTTTCTCTTATTACATTGGTCTGCACAGTCCAAGCTAATTCTGAGTTCAGTTATTTTTTCTTATTGTTCCTTTTGCTTAGAAAACTATCTCTAATGCTTCAAATAAGTCATATCTTCTTATCATTCTGGTCAGTAACTCAAAGCACATAATACCTTACAGTAGAGATCTTTGACAAGTAATCCATCCAAATAAATCATATTTCATTTTACCTTAGCCCTAGTAGCTTATTCTTTCATATCATCTAGTTTTATTTCCATTATAGCACTTATAATCCTCTGAAATTGTCTTCCTTGTTTTGTTTACACACCTCCCCAAACACTCTAAATGCACACAAATATACAGCATATGCATGTAAATAGCCTAATACACTATAATGTACCTCATTGGAGAAAGAGATAAGTTACCCTATTACATTGTTTACCATGAACTCTCCAGTTTCTAGAACAGTGCAAATACCTAAGAGGTACTTTATAAAGCTGAATTGAATGACTGAATGAATAAATGAAAAAATAGTTAGAATCAAAGTAAGTGTACATTATATACATATATTTTTTCCAAAGTTTTATCAATGCTTAGAAATGCTTAAAGTAAGCATATTGAATTACATTCTGATGAATATTAAATTTCAGTCTTTGTCCAAACTGTCTAAATATGGAAAACATTTGATTTGTTTTTGAGAAAATGTAATCTGTTTTGAAATTGTCTGTCTTTTCTAATTTTATGCAAGATTTGCTTTTCACTTGACTAGGTGGCAAGCACGGTATGAGATTTGTAAAGCTCCTTAGATAAGCTTTGCTTTAGAATTGCAAAGTGTGCATGTTTTATTCATATCAAGTGATCTGGTAGGGTGCAAAGAACTGACATGAAACAACTGTGCAGAGTTTAAATCTGTAGTATCGGATCTCAAAGGATTAATAATGGCGGTGAATAGATGAGAATGAGAACATAGAGAAGGAGAACATGAATAAGGAAAAGTGCTTTAACAGATAAAGCTCAGATGTCAATAAATCTAACATTTCTGATTAAATAGCCTTGATATGATATTCACCCTAATTTGCAAAAATAAGCCTTCATAAATTCAGTCAAATTCCACAATAAGAAATGTTTCATCTAAGGAATTTTTCCAAGTATACTCTAAAATGTTTCAGTAGAGATTGAAATAAAGATTAATGACACTCATATTTTATGCTGATGTATTCCTATTTTATTGCTAAAATATGTCTTGTTTGTTAAATCAATGCACACAGTGAACATCTCCATGGAAATATGCTCTCTACATTTAACTTCTGATTTTTTTTCTGAAGGATAGGGAAGATGGAGAGGATGCTCTGCCATGTCGAAACAGTGATCCTATGATGGGGACCCACACAGAGAAGGTCTTGCTTAAAGCCAGTGACTCCATGGATAGTCTCTACAGTGGGCAGAGCTCATCAAGTAAGGCTAATGAATAAAGGGCACAATCCTAGCTGTGAGGTCTGGGTTAAATTAATTTAAAAAACAATAAATCTGCCCCTCTCTGGCTTGTATATAAAATTAGTAACAAGGTTCCAGCTATTTGATTTTAAAAAATGGTAAAATGCATTGAATTTACATGGTAGTTTCATGGTAGATGGATTGAATCTACATAGTTACTATTATTCAAATCAATATATAATATATTTGAATTATACATTGTTTAACAATTTTAGTGCCATTGTCAACAGAGTTCTTGGGAATATGTCCCCAAATAGTTGTGTTGTATAATTAAATCTGTTATTTGAAATCAAAAAGATCAGATGTTTCCAATAATTTTTACTGCTATTTTCCTATTGGATATAGAACAGTTATTGTGAAAAAAAATCTAATCCAAAGACATTTCAAGGATTTTTTTTATCTGTATCAAATTCTGATTTCATAAGTATTCATTTCTTCTGGATGTTTTAAAATTCTAAATACTGATTCTTTCGTGGAGAAAATTTTATTAACTAGAATGTATCATAATCACAAGACTGTGTTCATTGTGGCAGAGAGGGCATGAGGTGATGCTCTCCCAATTAATCTTATACAACTTAATTCTTATGATTAGACACAACTCTTTTTTCTAAGGGCCAGGGATGTAGCTCAGTGGCACAGCCCCTGCCTGGCAAGCTTGAGGTCCTGAGTTTGATCCCCAGTACCAAAAAGAAAAAGGCATAATCTACTACAACTCATTTTTCATTTACATAAGTTCATATAAAATGTGGAGCTTCTCAAAGTATCTTTACCTTACTTCTGTAATGAATGATAGTGAAACCTGGGCTGTTCCCTCCTTGAACAGAGCACCAAAAGGCCAGCTTGTGGGGGAAATGAGAAGGCACTAAAGATTGGTGAGAAAAAGAGGCATTTCCCCTGGGGAATATTCTTGCCTGCCCTTGGGCAAGTAGCAAAAGAAAGTTACCCTTTTCTTTCTGAAGTTCAAAATCAAAAAGAAAGAAAATCAGCAAACAAGGACTTAGAGCAGTATTTTTCTTTTTTTGGATGGGAGCAATTTTTAAAAGCCCAGTTTAGTACAGTTTCAAACTATTTCAGACATTCCAACACACTTCCTCCTTCACTCACAGTACAAGCAAATGTATCATATTTTATGTGCCAAGATTTTGCCTCAAAATGGCCATTAGAGTACAGAAGGAGGACTGGGGAATTTTTGCTACAATTGCAGTCAATTATAGAGAACTTTGCAATGTCACGCTTTAACCATTTGTGATCAATAGCGCTCACACAAAGACCAAACTCTTGCTATCAATTTCTGTCTTGTTTTACATTTATAAAATTGTGTACTGTAGCTTGGGCAAGAGTTAAACCTATACCTTTCTCCTCTTTAGCAAGTGTCTATTATTAATATACAGTGTGCCGGATTAGGTCAGAGACCAAAACAAGAGTGTTTGATTTAGTGTTTGAAAGGACAGTGGTCCGATTGTGAGAAAGAGGTCTGAAGTAACCCAGAGGACAATATTCACTAGCAGAGAATGACTGGGTGTTAAAACAGGACTGGAATCCATTGCTTCAGGGTCCCAAAGGTGGTTTGAATGTTAATGTCAAAAGAGTTTGATAACAACTGTTAACCTCTGCTTTCCTCAGGTGGAATGACAAGTTGTTCAGATGGCACAAGCAACCGAGACAGCTTTCGCCTGGATGATGACAGCCCCTACTCAGGACCACTCTGTGGCCGTGCCAGAGTACACACGGATTTTACGCCAAGTCCCTATGACACTGACTCCCTCAAAATCAAAGTGAGCCAATATTACATTTGCTTTCTGGATAATTTGTCAAATTCTAGTTTATGATCTGTATCAAGAAGTAAAGAAATAAGAAGGAAGGTTGTGTGTTCTTCCTAACAGTTAAAATGGGGAATTGTGGTGATAGTGGCAGGATTTTTAATAAAACATGGGTGGGGTACTAGAGATCAGTCTTCTCAGGCTATTACCAGAAGTTGTTCTTAAGTTTATCATACAATTTCAGAGTTTATTGAGGAAAAAGAATTGTGTACTTTTTCTGAAAACTGAAAGTGTCTCAGGTTGCTGGAGGTGCCCAGCTCTGCTAGATAGTTGCTGGGAAGAAAATAATGGAGCTAAAGAGAAGAAAAGATGGAAATTTCGGGCAGGAGCACAGCAAAGCAAAGCAAAGCAAAGGTCTAGGAACCATAGTTGTCTGGGCAGCTCCAGTTCTTTTTAAATTGGTTACCCTGGTTAACCACAGACCATTCTCCAATGATTCCCTGCCTTGGGTTCGTTCTTCTTTGCTTTATCTGCTGTATTCATTTTGTACTGTTCCAGAATGAACTGCCCCAAACTCATGGGCGTCAAACATTGCAACTGTTTCACAGTTTCTATAAGAACATAAATTTGGGTGTGGCTCAGGGATCTTCTCTGTCTGAGGACTCACCTGGCTGAAATTAAATTGTCAGATTGTTATCTCACCTGCAGTTTGGGGTCCTCCTTCAAGGTCATTTAGCTGTACATGGAATTCAGTTCATTGCTGTTGTGCAAATTAGACCCTGGGCTTCTTGCTGGATATAAACTAGAGGCCATTCTGAGTCCTTATATTCCACCAGCCATGGTCCTCTCTCATAACATGGCAGCCTACTTTTTCAAGACTATAAAGAGAAAAGCTGCTACATGCTTCAGTATCTTTTTTAAAAGAGACCTCACATGATTAAGTCAGATGCACCAGGATAATCTTCCTTTTCATTAACTCCAAAATTGTAAAGTTTCTTCTGTCACATAAAGTAACACAATCATGAGTTTGAAATCCACCATTTTGGTAGCCCTGGGCACTATAAGGAGACAGGGCTGATAAAGGTTCATGCTAAAATATTTTTATAGATGTTAAATCATTCTGTTTAGTGTCACAAAGCACTGTAAGTAAAAGAACATTAATTATGAATTTTCTATACAATTAACACTAATTCATGTTAATGAATGATTATGATATGAAGTATTGATTTATTTCATTACTTAACGCACTCAATTTTCTTATTTCCTTCTATGCTATCAAATCAGAGTAAACCAGAGGAAGGAGAAAATACATTATTCCCCACAGTTAGACCCTTAGTCATTTATCTAAAATGATTTGAAATCTAAGTTCAAGTCTTGGAGATGCTTACATTCTAGAACTCATTTTGAAGGGAAGACAGTAAAAGGGAATAAACACAACTTTGACTCAGGATTGTTTTTTAACCTCCTTATAATACAATGTCAGTGTTCCACTGCTGGCACCCCCTGAGCTGATTTTTGTGGAGCTATTACAGTGCATAGCAAGGATCCCATAGTTAACAATTGAAACTTGAAATATTATTGTTTCTAACAATGAATTTATCCAAAGTGAAATTGAGTCTTTGCTTGGGTGACTTCTGGAATGTGCAAATTTACAAGTTAAAGGATATAAGTTACAAGTTTTAAGAACAATAGGAAGGATTCAGAAAAGGCTAACCAAACCTAGTAACTTTCTGGATCTTTCAGGGAGTTCCCTGGTGAGTTTAGTGGGTAGCATCTGCCCTATGATTTAATTTCCTGTAGTGAAAAGACAAGAAAACCGAGACTAATAGCTCAGAGGTCCAGACAAGCAGATGATCATAAATCAGAAATATCACATCATTCAACCACATTAAATTGTAATATTGCAAATAAAATTTGTGTTTTGTACAAATCATACATTCACAAATCAGCAGAAAAAAAACATATTTTATTATCACATTTAATGCTGTGCTGTTGAAGGGTAGATCCTTAAACGTGGTAGAAATATTAGAATCTGTAACATCCTCTCTGGGGCAGACATGCCCAAGACTCAAAGGCATAACTAGTGTACTCTTAAATATAGATCCTTATTTGCATAGAATTCAGGGTTTTTTTAAACCAAGAAATACTCCCAGGGGATTTTCTACTTTTGCCAATAATTAGTAGCATGTTGCAAAATATAGCCTAAAATGCGAATAAACAAAATACTACTTTGTATGAACCATCTCAATGTGCTTCATTCGAACTTCAGTGCAAACTTTTGCTGGAGCTCAATCTAAATATTATCTCTTCTTGATAAGAAAAGCATTAAGAACTAAGTAGTATAACAGTGCACTCATACTTTTGATACATATTTGGTGAGTTCTGCATACTTTTATTATTGTATATGGATGAAATACTTTAGAGGACTTGACTTTATACTGAAAATTGATTCTATTGGATGAACTAGAATCTCAGACAGAGCCACAGACTTCTTTCTCTTGATGTTTTCCAATAGAAAAGCCCCCTCCCCCCCCAAATAATAAGAATATTACTTTTGTAATATGAATGAAAGGAACATAATTTTTAAGTTCAGAAAACTTGGGCTTAAATTGTCATTAACTTCTGCAAACTTTTGAGAAGTCATTCACTATCTTTGCTTCTTTTTCTGAAATATTTAATAAAGTGTTGTTTCACCTATGTATCTGAGGTGTGTTGTGAATATAAAATGACAGTGTATTCAAAATTATTGTGTAAGTTATACTGTGATATGCAAGCATGTTACACTGATATAACAAAAAAAAGAAATGTGTCACTATTTCTATGTAAGCTTTTCTTCAAGCATTTAGAAGTTTGCTTTATTATTACTGGAAAATAATTTCCTTAAACAAGTGAACTCAGATCTATTATTGATATCTTTGAACCTGTTTAGCATAATGTACTAATTACTCTAATTTTCAACCATTCTTTCTACCAATCTTCATAATACTATACTGCTTTGAAATCTGATTTGTATGTGTTTATCTCTTCTCCCTTAGAAAGGAGACATCATAGACATTATCTGCAAAACACCAATGGGGATATGGACGGGAATGTTGAACAATAAAGTGGGAAACTTCAAGTTTATTTATGTGGACATCATCTCAGAAGAGGAAGCAGCCCCTAAAAAAATAAAGGCACACAGAAGGAGTAAAAGCGAAAAACCTATGAGTCTTCAGGTGTTTTTAGAGAAGATTCACCTTCAGGTTAGCCACTCTTTGGCCTGTTTTTGGTGGTAATGTGGATGGAATCGTTGATGAGAGTGGATCAGTTTTTGTATAATGTTATTTAAAAATATAAGACTTACAGCAAGAAAAATCTGTTTTCCTAGAACAGCTCTTATTTCTTTTTTATTACTTTTATTATGCAAGGGCAGGTCTAAATATAACATCTCTTGGACTAAACCCTAATGCTACTTAGCAGTGCCAGTAGAGATTAATGTTGAGAAAGTGCAATGAAAAATGAAAAATATCTAGGAGAATAAAAGAACAGGAGAAAATATCTAAATGAGAAAGAGAATATAAAGAGTAAAGTAAATCTAGAGAAGAGAAAGAAAAAATGAAAATTATATTTGCTATACAGCAGAGATCAAAATCAAGTCCAGGGAAGATAACTAAATAGGATCATCTAAACAGTAATCATTAAGCCTCATGATAATTGTGTTCAGAATACTATGTCATCTGGTTTTATAATCTATTTTTTATATTACATTAGTAAATTTTTATGAAATATCTACCTTCTTAAAAGATGTGTACATACAGTATAACTATTGGTATTCAACTTACATTTTTGCAACACATTTCTAAAATTAACTTAGTTAAATTTTGATAAACTTCAAAATTCATAAAGGCAATAGCCAATTAAAGTTTTCTTTATTGATTTTTCTGAATTATCTAGTTAACCATCTTGGCTGTGCATATACTGTCCAAGCATCCCAACATTACTATTATTTTATAGTATATACAGAGGAAGTATAATTTTGAATCCTGCCTCTCTACTTGTTTGTTCTGTGACTTATAGAAAAAAATCAACATCTGAGGGAGTACGTGGCTTATTCGAGAACCCATAATCAGATGGTTTTGTCAGAATGGAAATTATGGTTTTCTGTATTCTAATTCAGGGCTCTTGTAGAATACACTACTTTTTCCAAAGAACTGTCCCTTCTTTTTGTTGTTAAAATAGAGTTGGTAATAAGGTCTTCCTGATTACTTAAAACTTCTATGTTTTCCCTTATTCAGCTTTAGTAACTAAAATAAAGACATTGAAATTATGATCAAATGAAATGAGAGGATTTTGGGGGGAAGTTGAAAAAGCTTTTAACTTCAGTTTGCATTTTTATTCTGTTAGAGACAAAAGAGGTTGTATAAATAATACACAGACTAAAACCAAAAGTCTATGAATTTTAAATTAACACATACTAATGCAAATAACAGACAAAATATACATGCTGAAAAAAGGAAGTAAAATTTTTTCCAACTCTCTTATGTTTAATAAAGTTTTTAATTAAGTAGTTTGTGGTAGTTTTACATGTCTCTCAATCAAAATGCTAAACCCACTTTGTGTGTAGACTTGTGTCTGTTTTAAATTTGCTTTTAATCAACTCCAAGAAGTTAGTGAAAGTACATATTTTTGTAATCAAGGAACAGGAAGGTATGTAATTTAGAAATATTAGTACAATATACTCTGTTATAGGCATTTCATTGATAGACTTAAAAAAATTCTAGTTCTTTTGGTTTAGGTAGTTGGGAAGTAAAAAATGCTAAATGGGATATATGCTCCAGCTATTAAATTAATTCACAACTTGACATTGCATAGATTAAGATAATTATGTCTTCTTATGTCCCATCTTCCAGAAGGTGAGAATTACACAACATACTCATAAATGCCCTAGAGTTCATGTGTGGAAAGCTAGTACAAGTCAAATAAAGTTAAACAAAAGTTATACTGGGAACTCTGGTTTCCATATGCATTTCTATACTTTGTTTAAATCTAAAGAGAACTAAAAATAAAATAGTTGAATCTAACTAGTTTACATTGCATTATATTTTTTTCTCCCCATAGGAATATACCTCAACACTTTTACTTAATGGATATGAGATCCTAGAAGATTTAAAGGATATAAAAGAGAGTCATCTCATTGAATTAAACATTGCAAACCCAGAAGACAGAATGAGGTTACTATCAGCTGCTGAAAGTCTCCTTGATGAAGAAAGTAAGTGTACGCATCTACTCATTCCCTAGCTGATAATTTATGGTTTGAAGTAAAGAGTAAAATTATTACAACCACCTCTGTTTTATTTACATAAATCACATACAATATTATTTCCATAAAATTAGAATTTTCATATAACCTTGGAAGCAATGACTCCGATAAAATCTATAATTGGGGAAAAAGATATTTTTTTCCTTATTGGACTGAAAAATGAAAGGACTTTTCTAGGTCCCTCATTTTGATTTTGCAGAACTCTCAATTTATATGCAAGTGGATGGCTGCATTCCTGAAGACTGAGGGAGTCAGTGACAAATATTTAGTGACAGCATGAGCCATTAGTGAGAACTGTCACACGTGGCTTCTATAGAACAACACAGAGTGTGGCACTAACCTAATGAGCCTTTGTGCCACCAGAAAAATTCATTTTATTACCATATAGTCACATCTTGTGTGTGTTTATTGTACTCCTTCAAAATGTTATAATAGCTTGCAAAAATATTCGCACTCATTTTTATTATCTAAGATAGTTCTCTGTATTTGAAGTATAAACTGGGGACAGAATAATACGTATAAGTTCATTTATGGCAGGATGCTAGCTATGCCAACAAGAATTGTAAAGATAGAATAGCTTTTATTTTTGTAACTACTCATTTAGGACTCTACTAAATCTCTTCAAACCCCCAGACCCTGAGCCTGGAGTGTGCCAATCTATACAGTACATTTTGTGAAGAAAAATTGGGTGGGGATCATGAAGAGTCTAAATTTAAAGATGAGAAAGAAGTTAAATTATTAAATCGAGACTTCTCTTTCAAAACTAATATTAGTAGTAATTATTAACTAGTTTATTTATTTGAATGTGTATTCTGAGTAAAACTTTAGGCAAGTTCTTTATGTTTATTATTTTATTTAATACTCTTCACAAGATAGTACTACCTCCACTTTTAAAATGAGAAATTGAGATAAGTAACTTCTCTAAGCTCAAACTCCTAGTGAATTGTAGCTAGGATTCCAACCCAGTATTTAGAAAGCTTTCTAAATACAAGTAACAGCCCAGATGGAGAGTGAGGAGGAAAGCTGTATTTAGCATCTAGACCTCCTGACTTCCTTCGTGGGCTCTCCTATGCCCTCTGTTTTAAATCCGACAAAATTTAGGCATAACACATGTTTACTACACACTTGCTTCTCATAGTAGAAATTCATTTATTTTTTAAGAAACTGTTTCTCGCTTTATTCTCACTTGCTTTCTTGTGTTTCCATGAACACAAGCAGAAGTTATCGCCAGACCTAGGTTCTTATGCTCTTTCTTGAAAGTTTTGGTGATTGGGCAATGAATATAAGGGGTTTAATGGAGTCACAAAGGTAGAAAAAACTAACCTTCCTAAGGTTACCTAAAGGAGCTGATTTCCTCAACAGTACCAGCCTCCCAAAACTTGACCTTTGTAAGTTGATGTGGCAGAATCTTTCAGGTAAATAAGGCAGTTTCTCTTACATCTTGTCAGTTCAAGACATCACACCTCACTAAACATTTGGCTACAAAGAAGATTCTGTAGATTTTTTCTACTGATTCATGCTCAGTGCCACTGGCAATACTCTCCAAAGTAAGAGAGAGAGAATACTTTTTAAACACTTGCAAAGAATTACTTTTCTTTTGAAATAGCATACATTTAGATATTTTGTTCAATTTACAGATGAGGAAATAATTCAGAGATGAATTTCAAAGAAGTTAATTAGCTAAATAAATAGGAAAGGTGGAATTTTAATCAAAAACAGACTGCTATACAACTCAAAGTTCTGTCTTCCACATAAGCAAACTGGTATATATGAGAACAGTGAATATTTGGAGATTAACATCTTCTGCTACTTAAATTTTCTCAAGGACTTCAGTTCAGTGTTCCATCTCAGTGTAGTGTTCAAGTGAGAACAAAACCCTGGCAAGAACAGAACTCTCTGAGAGGTGAGATATGTCTGTAGCTGCCTCACAGCAGACTTCATGAAGATAAGAGGCTAGAAGCTAGGAAGCTGAGCTCTTAGTAGTAAAACAGTGTTTAGTAAGGACTCCCAAAAGAAGATGGTTCCAGGGTCAGAGGATGTGTTTACCTCATTTCTGTGTTCTTATCTCTTGCATCACTTTTCTATTTTCTTTGTTAACCAAAAAATAATGATTTGCATGTGATAACAAATCGAGGGGTGGGCATAATTTTTTTAAAAACACACCTGACCCAAAGTCTTCCTTTGCGAAATGGGAAAAATAAGAGTCCAAATAGCCGTGTGGCTTATTTAAGCTCATACATCTGGAACTTAGTCTCTTAAGTCTATCTGAAACATGTTCCACTATATCCTGGTTTCTGAAAAGAAAATACAGTATTTTCAAGCATGAAGGGACTTTGCAGTGTTTGATATTTTAAAAAGGACAAGTCCAAAAAATTATTTTCCTCTATAAAACTTTAGAAAACTATAATTAAAGGTCAAGAAGAGCTGATCAGTTCATAACAATAGCCAGTAATATATAAACATACACACACAGAGCAAAATTCTTATAGATGTAAGATAGAAAAATGCAGATTCAATCAGTGTTATTTGGCAATACACAACCCTGAGATTTTTCTTATTTTAATCATATGGCCTAAAGTAGTATTAGAATATACATGTCAGAAAGATGCATATTGCATGTTAGGCTATTCTGACTGAAAGCTATTTATCTTATATGAAATGGCTTTGCTCAAGAAATAAAGAAGAATGACTTCCATTTGTTGATAAGATGGTGAATTCTGATGATTTTGCATCATGCTACTGCATGTTTATTTTTATCTATCCTACACTCTGTGAATCACATCTTCTACATCCATGCTAAAGATTAAACACAGAACCTTCATGTTCCTTGAATGATAAATACCTTGAATACATGGTTATATAAAGCTGAGACATTATAAAAAGCAAATATACATCATAACCACAGGTTAAAATAGCTTTTATTAAAAAAAAAGAATGGGGTATGCAAAGTGGATAGGGTTTTATATATGAATTTTTATTTTCATCATTGAGCAATGTTAATTTGGAGAATTCCAATAAATTCTTAGTTTAAGGTTTCAGGATTTTTACATTGAGAACTTGGAAAACTTTTGCTTTTCTGATCACTCAGTATAAAAGTTGAGCAAACTGGGAACATGTCTTGAGGATTAGAGTCAAAATTTGATGATAATGTAGGAAAGACCAAGTCTCTAATGAGTCTTTAGTACATCTAGAGAAACTAAGAGGATAGGAGATGAAACAGGAAAATAAAAAAAGGAGAAATGTAATATTTAGAACAAGCAGTTTTTCTGTTTGGTTAGCCTGAGATAGATAGCATTGTTCTCACTTTGACCTTGAACATGTAAAGCAGATTAAACTTTTTAGGTCCCTGCTTGGCAGAAGGTAAAGATGCTTCTCCAACAAACTGATAGAAAATCTGGTGAGTGGATCACAGGATTAGAGCTGATCATAGGATTACTGCTGAAGGGGGATAATGACTTTGGGATTTTACAATCATAGCAAGACAAGCAGCAAGATGCAGAATTTGCTCCTACATTGCACTAGAACCAGACAGAATTATGACATTGACTTCCTCAACTGGGAATCCAGATAAGGTTAAAGAGAAGAAAATTTGGGCGAGGTCCAGCTTTTGAAGGAGAAAAGAAGCACCAAATCTGTTTATTTTGTGCATATTAGGGTTTCTATATTTATCGTATGACTTTAAAAATCACTTATTTACTTTGGGAGTAAATATTTCCAGCAAGTAAAAAAGTGAATAAAGAATGCGTGTACATGTGCCTGTGTGTTTGCATTAACACAAACTTTAAAGCTCCTCTGCCTTACTGAAAAATTCTTCCTTAGGATAATAAGATAGTTAACTGCTGTTTATAGTACATGTTTTCCATCTATTCTGCAGTTACTTCTTTTTCCACATTTAGAAGCACTTTGATGTGTCTTAAAATTGTCCCAACCAGAATGTGTACTATTGTTTTTGGGGAAAATGGGAAATGGAAATAATTTCCTTTCCCTAAAATATAGGGATAAATTTTAAACTGAAAAAAATAGTAACAAAATAATTAAACTTTACAGAAATCTGTTTCAATATATTTCAGGTACCTGCAAGTCTAATTGCAGTGCCAAGTGAGGAGGAAGGGGAAAGGGTTGGCTGTGAGCCAGGCCATTGGCACAAGCTGTGGGCACAGCAGCCCCACATTGCTCAACCAACCCCAGTTGTGCTTCCCTGCCTGTCTGCCTGCCCAAAGCGATGCAGGGCCAATGGTGGGACCCAGTCAGGTGCTGGAAGATGAGCCATCAGCAAGGGAGACTTGTCGATATGCCAAGCCGCAGTCCAGCAGTTGGTCTGAAGGTGTGCCAGGCTAGGCTGGTGCCCCAGCCCCTGACATGTGTACCTGGGGTTTCCACTGCACTTGCCACATGATTTGAATTTAAATTCAAGAAGTGTAGAGCTCTTAGAAAAGATAAGATAGCTATCCATATATATATATATAGAGAGAGAGAGAGAGACAGAGAGAGAGAGAGAGACAGAGAGAGAGAGAGAGGGAGGGGGAGAGAGAAGGCACATAAATGTTTTACTTGTATGTATTTACAAATATGGATTTAATATCTATTTCTAGTTGTAGCTATTTGGCTTTATTCAATTTAATTTCTTGGATTTATTTTGGCTCTACTCTAAGATTCCATTTATAACAGATACCATATTCTCTATAGTAAAATTAAAGTGAAATGTAAGCAATTTTACTCTTTAACAGAAAATACTTTCTAAACAAAATGGTTCAGGTTTTTTTTTTGTTTTTTTTTTTTTAGGGTTCAGTTTTTTACCACAGTCACATAAGGACCTTTGTAAGATCTCCTGTCCTTATTTTGTACTTGCACAGTGATTGTGTCCTATGCATGGTTTTGTAATGATTATCCTGGCCAAACAAAACCAAATCCTCTATTAAAGCGTATTTTTTCAAAGTTCCCAGTCCTGC